GGGAACCGTTGCCGGGATGATTATCCCAGGGTGTAAGTGGGTGGGGGGGGGGAGGGCGAGGGTTGAGATGAAGGCTGCCACTTGTGTGCTGGGAGAGATTAGTGAGTGTTGTAGGTAAGGAGCATCTTAGGAAGGGAGAGCAACTGTGTAAGAGGGATAGTCTTAGCGGGAAGTGAGGGGTTGTGAGTTAAGGGTGGGGGTAGCTGGAGTGGCGGGGGTGAGTGAGTGTGAGAGATAGATAGTTAGATATATATTACCTAAGTGTAGTTACAGGATGAGAGCTACGCTCGTGGTGTCCCGTCTTCCCAGCACTCTTTGTCATATAACGCTTCGACACTACTGGCAGTTTTGGCCTCCACCACCAACTCGCCTAACGTCTGTTTACAATGTTGGAGCAGTAGGTGCGTGTGACATTGGTGGGAGTGAGACAGCGACGTAAATGTGCCAGCATTACAATTTACAGCTGGACGTCTCTCTGGGTAAATGTGTTAGACTTGCCGGGTGTTGGCATTGTGGGCTTGTCGCTCTCAGTCAACGCGTCAGACAGAGAGAGAGATAATTGCCAATAGATGGGACTCAATCATTATCAATAACAAGGTACACAAATGGTTGCCATAACTGCCATAACGGTGTTGCCATGCGCATAACGCCGCCCCGGGGCCGCCAGCACGTACCCAGTGTTTCTCTACCGTCAAAACAGGAAATACGACGCTACACCGATTTTCCCCCTGACCGTCACGCCTCCCCAGCTGGGCTGTAGACGTTGTGTACCACCACCACCTGTTTGTTCCCTCGTGTCGGCCATCATGGGTGTACGTGTGTAGGTGTAGGTGTATGTGTTGGTGCGTAGGTGTATGTGTTGGTGCGTAGGTGTAGATGTGTTGGTGTGTAGGTGCTGGTGTGTAGGTGCTGGTGTAGGCAGGTGTGCCTGACACGAGGGCCGTGTTGGTCGCCGTGGACAAGGTGTGCTGCTAGATGCTCGCTGCTGCGCCCCAACTGTTATTAATAATTTAATAATTCATTGCGTCAGGGAACAGGAAGTTAGGTTATATATACAGTACATGTTAGGCTTATACCGAGGTCACCCCCCCCCCCTCCCCCTAGGGAATTACTGACCCCGCCCACGATGCAACTCTACAACAAGCTAGCTGCTGGGTACCTGTTTACTGCTAGGTGGACAGAGGCATGGGGTGAAACGAAACGCGCCCAACTATGTCTGTGCCGCCCGGGACTCGAACCCGGAATTGTGGATTTTGGGTCGAGAACCAACCTGACTGTACCACGGGGACCCTCGGTAGTTTAGTGCTATAGGTTAATATATTAATATTTTATATGTTAATATTTTGTTTTAGTATATTAATATTATCTATGTTAATATGATTCTGTTGAAGAGGTTAGGAAGAGGAGTATGGGCGGGAGGCGCCGGGGGTGCTGGAGACCGTACAGGATATCTTGAGGTTATCTTGAGATAATTTCGGGGCTTAGTGTCCCTGCGGCCCGGTCCTCGACCAGGCCTCCACCCCCAGGAAGCAGCCCGTGACAACTGACTAACTCCCAGGTACCTATTTACTGCTAGGTAACAGGGGCATCAGGGTGAAAGAAACTCTGCCCATTGTTTCTCTCCGGCGTCCGGGATCGAACCCGGGACCACAGGATCGCGCGCCCAGTGTTCTGTCCGCTCAGCCAGCGGCTCCCACCGCTAACAGGTTGACCAAGCTTCCCACCTGCCACTCATTACGCTGCTTGATTGACTGCGTTCACACAGTCAAAGTTATGAAAGTGTTGCATAACAGCAAGGTCTAACAAAGTGTTGTATAACAGCAAGGTCTAACAAAGTGTTGTATAACAGCAAGGTCTAACAAAGTGTTCTATAACAGCAAGGTCTAACAAAGTGTTCTATAACAGCAAGGTCTAACAAAGTGTTCTATAACAGCAAGGTCTAACAAAGTGTTGTATAACAACAAGGTCTAACAGTAATTATCGGGAGAAAGCACTAAGCCATTACGATTATATAGCACTTGGAAGCTATAATGATTTGGGATGGGACGGGGGGGAGGGTAAGGTATGGTGCCTAACCACTTGAACGGTCGGGGATTGAACGCCGACCTGCATCAAACGAGACCGTCCACATCAAGTGCCTATAAGGTGTTCCGGAATGATTGCTTCCAAATCATAAGTATTGTGTTTTCTTTCTGAAGTGCGAGTTGACTATTGTATGTGGTTCCCTCTATGATTGCTGGTCCTTAAAGTACTGGTATTTGCACCTACTTATTTGTACACACGATCAGTACCCAATGTTTCACATTGTAATTTACAATTTTGAGTACAAGTTCTTGCGTCATATAATGTTTAGTGTTTTGTATGAGTGTGTTAATGTTTAGGCCGACCTCCACCCCCCCCCCACCCCACTGTAACCTGCATTTTGTCACAATAAACATTATGTAATGTATAAACAAATCCACAAGGGGCCGTGACGAGGATTCGAACCTGCGTCCGGAAGCATCCCAGACACTGCCTTAATCGACTGAGCTACGACCTACCTTGAGGTGCTTCACAGGGTTAACACAGGGTTAACGACAGGGTTAAAAGAGTTGAAACCGAAGTTCTACTGAACTTACTGGATCCCGTAGCCTCTCCAAGGCACAAACCAAGGTTTTACACAACTCCCCCCTGCACCCGAGCTATGTCAATAGGCCGTTCTCCCTCTTCGCCCTTAATGTATATTATGTATATGTAATGTATATTTCAGTGTCATAGTTGGTCTTTGTTACAGTGACGCCTGCCAGCATGTGTCTGGGCGTGGACGACAATTATAAATGAGACTTTGTTGTGTGTGTTTCCTGACTTTAAATATTGTTGGCGGATACCAATGTTGTTGTTTGTGTTAGTTGAGTGTTTCTCTTTGGTGTTACTTGTGGTCCAGGTGTGGGGGGTGTCCCGGGTGTTACCTGTGGTCCAGGTGTGGGGGTGTCCCGGGTGTTACCTGTGGTCCAGGTGTAGGTGTGTCCCGGGTGTTACCTGTGGTCCAGGTGTGGGGGTGTCCCGGGTGTTACCTGTGGTCCAGGTGTGGGGGTGTCCCGGGTGTTACCTGTGGTCCAGGTGTGGGGGTGTCCCGGGTGTTACCTGTGGTGCAGGTGTGGGGGTGTCCCGGGTGTTACCTGTGGTCCAGGTGTAGGTGTGTCCCGGGTGTTACCTGTGGTCCAGGTGTGGGGGTGTCCCGGGTGTGTTACCTGTGGTCCAGGTGTGGGGGTGTCCCGGGTGTTACCTGTGGTGCAGGTGTGGGGGTGTCCCGGGTGTTACCTGTGGTCCAGGTGTGGGTGTGTCCCGGGTGTTACCTGTGGTGCAGGTGTAGGGGTGTCCCGGGTGTTACCTGTGGTGCAGGTGTGGGGGTGTCCCGGGTGTTACCTGTGGTCCAGGTGTGGGGGTGTCCCTGGTGTCTTACCTGTGGTCCAGGTGTGGGGGTGTCCCCGGGTGTTACCTGTGGTCCAGGTGTGGGGGTGTCCCGGGTGTTACCTGTGGTCCAGGTGTGGGGGTGTCCCGGGTGTTACCTGTGGTCCAGGTGTAGGTGTGTCCCGGTGTTACCTGTGGTCCAGGTGTGGGGGTGTCCCGGGTGTTACCTGTGGTCCAGGTGTGGGGGTGTCCCGGGTGTTACCTGTGGTCCAGGTGTGGGGGTGTCCCGGGTGTTACCTGTGGTGCAGGTGTGGGGGTGTCCCGGGTGTTACCTGTGGTCCAGGTGTAGGTGTGTCCCGGGTGTTACCTGTGGTCCAGGTGTGGGGGTGTCCCGGGTGTGTTACCTGTGGTCCAGGTGTGGGGGTGTCCCGGGTGTTACCTGTGGTGCAGGTGTGGGGGTGTCCCGGGTGTTACCTGTGGTCCAGGTGTGGGTGTGTCCCGGGTGTTACCTGTGGTGCAGGTGTAGGGGTGTCCCGGGTGTTACCTGTGGTCCAGGTGTGGGGGTGTCCCGGGTGTTACCTGTGGTCCAGGTGTGGGGGTGTCCCTGGTGTCTTACCTGGGGTCCAGGTGTGGGGGTGTCCCGGGTGTTACCTGTGGTCCAGGTGTGGGGGTGTCCCGGGTGTTACCTGTGGTCCAGGTGTGGGGGTGTCCCGGGTGTTACCTGTGGTCCAGGTGTAGGTGTGTCCCGGGTGTTACCTGTGGTGCAGGTGTGGGGGTGTCCCGGGTGTTACCTGTGGTCCAGGTGTGGGGGTGTCCCGGGTGTTACCTGTGGTGCAGGTGTAGGGGTGTCCCGGGTGTTACCTGTGGTCCAGGTGTGGGGGTGTCCCGGGTGTGTTACCTGTGGTCCAGGTGTGGGGGTGTCCCGGGTGTTACCTGTGGTCCAGGTGTGGGGGTGTCCCGGGTGTTACCTGTGGTCCAGGTGTGGGGGTGTCCCGGGTGTTACCTGTGGTCCAGGTGTGGGGGTGTCCCGGATGTTACCTGTGGTCCAGGTGTGGGGGTGTCCCGGGTGTTACCTGTGGTCCAGGTGTGGGGGTGTCCCGGGTGTTACCTGTGGTCCAGGTGTGGGGGTGTCCCTGGTGTCTTACCTGTGGTGCAGGTGTAGGTGTGTCCCAGGTGTGGAGGCTGGAGGACGCTCTCACCTCACCAACATTAGTATTGTATTGTTAATACAATTTGTATTATTATTAACTGCATCGATATTGTATGTGATTTAGTGCAATTAGTGATTGGAGTTTTTTTTGTATTGTGTATTGCAAATATTGTATTTTAAACCACATCTTTATTGTGATTTTGTGTATTATTGTTTTTGGTGTATATTTTATGTGTTTGCTTTATTTACTTTGCTATGTTCGTTTGTTTACATTGTTGCATAGTGTTGTAGTGAGGGTTATGTTGTGTGTTGAGACTGATGTTCACTCTCCCCTTGACAGGATGTGCGACACTACTAGCTGAAGGCGCGCAGTGAGCCATGCAGGGTAAGTGTGTCCCTCTCTGGTCCTCTACTGTCCCGGACCCGTCCACACTCACGCTGGCCCGACCCGTCCACACCCTCCAGCCTAGTTCAATACCACTACTGCAGCTGTAGCAGCAGACTGCTCCCGTGCTGGGTGGAGCAGCAGGAGCAGCAAGGTTGACGGTGTGTTGTATAAGGAGTCACTGGAGACGGGTGGGAAGACAGGATAGAGTGGCAGGAGTGGACGGAGCCAACACCACAAAATGAACGGTACAGGTGCACAGGGTTGCAGGTGCACGGGGGTACAGGTGCACGGGGGTGCAGGGGAGCTAGTCAAGAGGGCTCCGGCCTGGCACCTGAGGTGTGCACCCCAACACCACACTAACAACTACGGTGGCCTGAGTGGCTGGCTTCAGTGTAGGTAAGGATGAAGCCAGAGGAGACGCTGGTAGGGGTCCCCTAGCGACTCCGAAGTTCTTTCCATCCATCGGCCGACCCCAAAGACGTGTTCATCACTATGACGATGTTATTCATTCGGTTCGTGGCCCATACAGTCCGGGTGAATGGAATGCTGTTCATTCACAATGGGAATTTTCTCACATATAAACTATTATTATCATATATTAGTATATGGTGCACATTTAGGTGTAGGTTAGGTTAGGTGTTTAGGTTTTGTTGGCAATTGTTGGTATTTGTAGTGCGCTGGTGAACGATTTAAAGAGGAACGATTCGAACTCGAGTTCGAAGAGAGTTTAACAATTTTGAACGGCATCTCCTACGAGTCGTACAGCCTGTCCTTATCACCAGAGGCCAGTGTTCGGTTCCCTGCAGCCGTCACACCGTCGGGTTTATGAGTGATAAATGCTTAACACACGACGCGCACGTGACGACGTCCGAACACTTCCTCAACACTGCCTCACTGACGACGTCCGAACACTTCCTCAACACTGCCTCACTGACGACGTCCGAACACTTCCTCAACACTGCCTCACTGACGACGTCCGAACACTTCCTCAACACTGCCTCACTGACGACGTCCGAACACTTCCTCAACACTGCCTCACTGACGACGTCCGAACACTTCCTCAACACTGCCTCACTGACGACGTCCGAACACTTCCTCAACACTGCCTCACTGACGACGTCCGAACACTTCCTCAACACTGCCTCACTGACGACGTCCGAACACTTCCTCAACACTGCCTCACTGACGACGTCCGAACACTTCCTCAACACTGCCTCACTGACGACGTCCGAACACTTCCTCACGTCCGAACACTTCCTCAACACTGCCTCACTGACGACGTCCGAACACTTCCTGAACACTGCCTCACTGACGACGTCCGAACACTTCCTGAACACTGCCTCACTGACGACGTCCGAACACTTCCTCAACACTGCCTCACTGACGACGTCCGAACACTTCCTCAACACTGCCTCACTGACGACGTCCGAACACTTCCTCAACACTGCCTCACTGACGACGTCCGAACACTTCCTCAACACTGCCTCACTGACGACGTCCGAACACTTCCTCAACACTGCCTCACTGACGACGTCCGAACACTTCCTCAACACTGCCTCACTGACGACGTCCGAACACTTCCTCAACACTGCCTCACTGACGACGTCCGAACACTTCCTCAACACTGCCTCACTGACGACGTCCGAACACTTCCTCAACACTGCCTCACTGACGACGTCCGAACACTTCCTGAACACTGCCTCACTGACGACGTCCGAACACTTCCTCACTGACGACGTCCGAACACTTCCTCAACACTGCCTCACTGACGACGTCCGAACACTTCCTCAACACTGCCTCACTGACGACGTCCGAACACTTCCTCAACACTGCCTCACTGACGACGTCCGAACACTTCCTCAACACTGCCTCACTGACGACGTCCGAACACTTCCTCAACACTGCCTCACTGACGACGTCCGAACACTTCCTCAACACTGCCTCACTGACGACGTCCGAACACTTCCTCAACACTGCCTCACTGACGACGTCCGAACACTTCCTCAACACTGCCTCACTGACGACGTCCGAACACTTCCTCAACACTGCCTCACTGACGACGTCCGAACACTTCCTCAACACTGCCTCACTGACGACGTCCGAACACTTCCTGAACACTGCCTCACTGACGACGTCCGAACACTTCCTCAACACTGCCTCACTGACGACGTCCGAACACTTCCTCAACACTGCCTCACTGACGACGTCAGATCGAATCCCTGCTTCATAAAGCTTTCTCCCCCTCCCCCCCCCCTTCCCCTACGTACTACAAATACGCACATTTGTCAACAGAACCTAAACATCTAACCTACGACTAAATATGCAAATATTTAATAATATTAGTTTATATTTGAGAAACTGTCTTTTTAATACACACTGTGTTAACATTGATGACTGCATTACCAAACCCGGCCTGGGACCAGCCTTGACTTGGGAGTTTGGTCCAACAGACTATTGTCTGGGCCCACTTTCTTAAGAGAGAGGGTCAGCCGCTGGATGGAATGAACATAGTCGGTGGACAGGTTAGTGTGTTTGTTTCATTCACAAATGGTGGGGGCTGGAGGAGGCTGGAATATTGAGCATTTAGCCTTTGTTTATGGGTAGGAGTTTTGACCATGAGTGTCATACATGTTGTTGTTGTTGTAGTGAGGAAGTGTGGGGGTGAGTCACTAAGCGGGACTCACTCAGATGGAAGTGTGAGTAAGGTGGGGTAGAGACCGTGGGTCACCCTCACCCATGGCGTACTCATAACACGAGGGAGGAGAGTGTGAGTGTGTCAAGGTGGATGAAGTTGAGTGAGTGAGTGAGGAGTACAAGTTAGGGTGAGTCAGGGAGTGGGTGACATTCGGGAAGTGAGTGAGGATGAGTCACGTGGCCTTCCTCCCGGGAGTCACACCACATTCATGTAAACAAAAACATTTAAGACCGCACGCGCTTGTGTTCCCAGTAGACTCATTCCCATACTCATACCATACTCATACTCATTCCCAGTAGGCTCAGGCATCTGTACAGCAGTTGATTGACAGTTGAGGGGCGGGACCAAAGAGCCAGAGCTCAACCCCCGCAAGCACAGTTAGGTGAGTACTGGCCGCAGTACTCGCAGTGTTCAAGAGATCAACGACCGGGCCGCGGGGTCGCTAAGCCCCGAAAACACCTCAAGGTAACCTGATCACCCCCCCCCCCCCACACACACACAGCCTTGGCTCTCACGCTCAGCACACGCGCACACACTGAGCACACACCGCGCGCGTGTGCACACACCCTCACGCGGTCTTAAATGTTTTTGTTTACATGAGTGTGGTGTGACTCGCGGGAGGAAGGCCACGTGACTCATCCTCACTCACTTCCCGAGTGTCACCCACTCCCTGACTCACCTTAACTTGTACTCCTCACTCACTCACTCACTCAACTTCATGCACCGTGACACACTCACACAGTCCCCAGTTATGCCCCTTATGTGTAGTGGAAGCGTGTTGAACAGTCTCGGGCCTCTGATGTTGATAGTTCTCTCTCAGAGTACCTGTTGCACCTCTGCTCTTCAACGGGGGTATTCTGCACATCCTGCCATGCCTTCTCTGCTCATGTGGAGTTATTTCTGTGTGCAGGTTTGGGGCCAGCCCCTCTACTATTTTCCACGTGTAAATTATTATGTATCTCTCCCGCCTGCGCTCAAGGGAGTATAGATTTAGGCTCTTTAGTCGGTCCCAGTAGTTTAGATGTTTTACTGAGTGGATTCTAGCAGTAAAGGATCTCTGCACGCTCTACAGGTCAGCAATTTCTCCAGCTTTGAAAGGGGCTGTCATTGTGCAGCAGTACTCCACTCTAGAGAGCACTAGCGTCTTGAAAAGTATCATCATGGGTATAGCATCTCTAGTGTGAAAGGTTCTTGTTATCCAACCTGCCATTTTTCTTGCAGAGGTGACGGCTACTTTATTGTGTTCTTTAAAGGTAAGGTCTTCCGACATGAGTACGCCCAGATCCTTATCGTTCTATGGTATGATTTGACTGCGTTTTGTACGTAGTTTCCGTGTTTATATCTTATTTTTTTCCGTAGCGCATGAGCTGGAACTTATCTTCGTTAAACACCATATTATTTTCTATAGCCCATAGAAAGGCCTAATTTACGTCTGATTGGAGGTTTGCCGTGTCCTCTATGTTGCCAACTCTCATGAAAATCCTAGTGTCATCTGCAAAGGATGATACAGTGCTATAGGTTGTGTCCTTGTCTATGTCCGATATAAGGATGAGAAAAAGTACTGGAGCAAGCACAATACCCTGGGGGACTGAGCTCTTCACGGTTGATGGAACGGATTTTATTTTGTTGACTATTGCACATTGGGTTCTGTTAGTCAGGAAATTGTAGATCCATCTGCCTATTTTTCCGGTAATTCCTTTTGAACACATTTTGTGTACAATAACACCATGGTCACATTTATCGAAGGCTTTTGCGAAATCTGTGTAAATTACATCAGCGTTTTGTTTGTCTTCTGTGGCATCTAATGCCATGTCATAGTGGTCCAGCAACTGCGACAGGCAAGAGCGCCCTGTTCTGAAACCATGTTGTCCGGGGTTATGGAGATGCTGTTATTCCATGTATTTTGTGATGTTTCTTAGCGCACTCTCGAAGATTTTTATGGTGTGTGATGTTAGTGTTATCGGCCTGTAATTTTTTTACTGCCTTATTACCTCCTTTATGGAGTGGTGCTATCTCTGCTGTTTTTAGTATGTCAGGGATAACGCCAGTATCTAGGCTTTGTCTCCAAAGAATGTGAAGGGCCTGTGATAGTGTTTTTTAACAGTTCTTGATGAATATGGAGTTCCAAGAATCAGGGCCTGGTGCAGAGTGCATAGGCATACTGTTTATGGCTTCTTCAAAAAGCATGGGGATAGGGTGACGTCTGATATATGATTTGATGTTGGTATCATATCCATGAAAAATTCATTTGGGTTATCAATCTTTAGTGTGTTTAGTGGCTCGCTGAAAGCAGAGTCGTACTGCTTCCTCAGTAACTCGCTCATTTCTTTGTTGTCATCTGTGAAAGTTCCGTCTCCCTTTCGCAGGGGCCCGATACTAGATGTGGTTTTTGATCTTGATTTTGCATAGGAGAAAAACCACCTCGGGTCACCTTGCTTGAGTGCGGGGGTGCAGGAGTGCGGGAGAGTGCGGGGGTGCAGGAGTGCGCGGGGGTGCAGGAGTGCGCGGGGGTGCAGGAGAGCGCGGGGGTGGAGGAGTGCGCGAGAGTGCGGGGGTGGAGAGTGCGCGAGAGTGCGGGGGTGGAGGAGTGCGCGAGAGTGCGGGGGTGGAGGAGTGCGCGAGAGTGCGGGGGTGGAGGAGTGCGCGAGAGTGCGGTGGTGGAGGAGTGCGCGAGAGTGCGGGAACCTGAGACCCATGGCGT